ATAGCTTTAGTGTAGTTGTTGTTTTAAACTTGAGTATGAACTTATACAAAATGCAGCAAGATATTTAAAAAAACTGTTTTGTTGATTAAAAAACACTATATCGGATTCATATCGGTATCGGCAGATATCCAAATTTATGATATCGGTATCGGACATAACAAAGTGGTATCGTGCCATCTCTAATTGGTTTAGACCACGATATGGGCATAATGTGTGTTTGTTGTTGACCACATGGAGATTTTTCAGAGTTGCTGAGACTTTAAAAAAAACTTTTTTTCTTTTCCTTTTTTTTTTTTTTACTCAAAAGGCTGGTCGACCTACGATTTTCTTTTAGTTGCACCACTGAGAAATTAAGTCGCATATGCGAAAAAATTGATCACACTCTAGAGCCCTGAAAGGGAATGGGTTTTTTGTGTGTAGCTCAGTCTATTTCAGATTTCCATTACACCAGCTTAGTCTTCATGCTTCAGGTGAGTTTGGGAGAGGTCAGTTCTTGGCAGTCTGAGGCCTGCTTTAGTCCCTGATCTGAAGACTACATCCCTAATTCTTAGATGTTTTTAAAACCTGATATATTGTGATTCATATATTCAAATGTTTTAAGTTGGAGTTGATTATATTCAGCAATCGTCTGAGTGATGCAGCTATTTTCTCCAGATCACTTATTTTAATTGTGTGCTTTAAGTGTGGATGCGTGTCACCTTGTTTATAGTCCAGTTCATGTTGCTCACTGGTATTTTTCCACATCTTCCAGTGTTACATTTAGCTTAGTTTTAGTTTGCAGTGCTTTGAATTTTACCCAGTTTCTTGAGGCTTTCTTGGCTATGCCAACATTGCATTTGTTACATATATATTCATGAAGACATGAGATCCATTTAGCTTCCTGTTTACAAACCTTAAGATCACTGCTGGGTTCTTGTTGGTGTTGGTGAAACAATGACATTGTTTGTCCTGGTGCATTGTTCCAAGTCTGCAATCCTGCTCTCCAGGTACGCTATCTGCTTCTTCTTCCTCACATTTTTAATACAGAGCAACTTTAACTTAACAAAGTCCAATATACTTTTCTATTACATCCCAACAGCAGATATAAAAAAGACTTTTTCTGAAAGACTATTGTCAGCTTCCTCATCTGTGTCCTCGTAGGCCCAACGTTATCTGGTGAACAAGCTCAGTTAGCTGTGAACTTGTCAGCTTAAAATTGATTTTAGTTTGAATATCACAATATCGATTCAGTAAAATCCAGGATTGATTTTTAAATATGAATGTATTTTACCAGAAACGCCAGAATCTCAGCTTAAAGCTCACACTGCTGTTTTAGCTGTTTGGTGGTTTCAGATTGAAAATCAATCTCCAAAAAATTGCTTGTATTTTATCACCTTGCATTGTCTATTGTTTTGTTCTGTGTTATATTGAGTGGTTTTCACTTTGACAATTTTGCACTTACTTGGGCTAAGAGAAACATTTCATCCCATGAAGTGAAATTGAACTTGAAAGTCTAAATATGTTTAACTTCTTTCATAGGACACCCCTCATGGAACAAGTTCTTGATTCTCTTTCGAAGACAGCAAGTAAAGCTTTGAGTCTGGACATGTGACAATACCACTTCTTTTAGCAAATGGTCATCTCTGCCACTGACTGGACAGAGAAGAAATGCAGCACTGTCTTTGTTCAGTGGAGAAGTTGGATATATTTCAGACTGAAACTAGTCAAACAACTCATGTTGTGCTTTGTTGTCCTCTCAGTCCACCAGGTGCTGGCTGATTTAAAGGCGGAGTCTGCCAAGCTGCCCTTCAACACCAGCGTTAACCTGTCTGAAGAGGATAAAGTGGAGTGGAAGGACAGAAACATCAGGAAGGTCCATGTATATCCAGAAGTGTCTGACCAGCCTGAAGAACAGGACCAGCGTTACAGAGACCGAACGAAGATGAATGAAGACCCGCTGAAAACTGGAGACCTCAGTCTGACCCTGAAATACCCCACAGACTGGGACACAAATGCCTACACCTGCACCGCCTACAGCAGGAAGGGAAACATCCTGCTGATGAAACAAGTGGAGCTTAAAGTCAGAGGTGTGTGTGTGTGTGTGTGTGTGTGTGTGTGTGTTAGGGACTGTGGGGAATCTTTGTGCATTAGTTATTTGATACGATGTCTTGCACTATCCTACTGTATATTACTGTACACTACTATTCTTATTGTATATATTGTATATCTTATTCATCTGTTCCTCTGTCTCTCCTGCTGCTTTGAGCATGTACATGACCAAAGAATTCCCCTCGGGATAAATAAAGTTATTCTTTCTTGTAGAACTGCGGTTTTAAGCAATGTGGTTGAAAGATTTGGGTGCACCTAACTTTTGTGCTGGTGCACCTAAGAAAATAAGTTAGGCACACCAGTGCAACCATGGCAAAAAGTTAATCTAGAGCCCTGTATAAAATATTTGATCAGATGATAATGGTAGAATGTATGTATATATTTATTTATTAAAATAGTTTATTGTAGAATGGAAGTTCAGAAATTAAAAACTCACCTAACAGTAAAATAATGGTTTAGTCCTTAACAGCTAGAGTATTTAAGGCTGCCAGTTGTCATTAGACAGGAGAGTGATTGTGCTGTGAGAAAGCTTAATCTGCCAGTGATTGTCATGGCCTTAAAGCTATATGGGCAAATAAACACTTCTTGCTTACACCATACTGTGTCTCAGTCTTCCTCACTGTAAATCCAGCCAAAAAAGGGTTGTGAGCCAAGACCAGCTGTGACAGCAGAGTTTACTCTCATGCACATAGACCAAAGATATAAGTTAAAAGAAACCACAGCACCATCAGACTCTGATCATCTCCAATTGCTCTAAAACTCATTTGACTTTAAAGATTTCTGTCCTCTGCTCTGATCTGCTTCTATCCTTTACCTTCCTCTATAACTCTGAAAACAAACCTGCTGCTGTCTGTACAGCTCATGTTGTTTGTTGTCCTCTCAGTCTGTGAGGTGGAGCTGAAGATGGGGGCGGAGTCTGTCCAGCTGCCCTTCAAAACCACAGAAAAACTGCCTGAAGATGCTAAAGTGGAGTGGAAGGACAGATACAACAGGAAGGTTCATGTGTATCATAATGCATCTGACCAGCATGAAGAACAGGATGAGGATTATAGAGATAAAACAAAGATGAATGAATGCCCGCTGGAAACTGGAGAGCTCAGTCTGACTCTGAAAAACCCCACAGAGGGAAACATTGGGAGATACACATGTTGCGTCTGGAGAAAGGGAGACATAATCAGATTGAAAACAGTGATGTTAACAGGAAAAGTAAAAGGGGGTTTGTATGCTCCCCCTAGGTGTGATCTTTCAGAAATACAATATCGCTTCTCACAGTTATGCTGATGATATACAGATCTACTTTGAACTAACTGATGATCTCTGTCTCTGCACTTTTTGTGTGAGGTCAAATAATGGCTCTTAGGAAACTCTCTTAAATGATAAGAAAACGGAAATCGTGGTATTTGATAGTAATATCCCTCGCGGCCAACTTCCTGATGCCCTTGGTTCCCTTGCCAGTTCCATCTCTGACACTGTTAGCAATTTGGGTGTGTTGCTGGATAGCTCTTAAATTTGATAAACAAGTGTCTGCTGTAGATAGATCTAGCTTCTACCAACTGTGGCTAGGCATGCCCTCTGACTGGAACTGGGAGGTTTGCCTCTATTATCCCTGTTCTTGCTGATCTGCACTGCACCCATTAAATACCGTATCCAATTTAAAATACTGCTGCTTACTTTTAAAATGATCAACAACACAGCGCCAAGATACCTTATCGAATTCTTTAGATTGTACATCCTTGTTAGAGCACTAAGATCATCTACTCAGGTAATCTAGGTGCAGCCAAGATCTTGGCTGAAATCTAGAGGTGACCGTGCGTTTGCCTTGGCTGCACCTGATTTGTAGACTTATTCTGTTTCTCTTTTATACATTTCTTTTATGGCTTTGTGCTTTTACCATGTTTTTATTTGATATGCATTTCATTGTTACTTAGGTAACTGTTTGTACAGTCATTTGTATAAAGAGTAAACAGGACTGGTGAACTAACGCAGCAGTTTTTCTGGACCTTTGATGCCCTATTATGTTGGTTTTTTTTCTGAATCTTTGGTTTTTATTTAGCCTTTTCTCTATTTTTTTTCCAATGAGTCTTAGCTTTACACAGACTTTGAAACACATTTAACAAGAAACCCCCGAAGACTTACATTAAAGTCTCATTGTTTCTGTACCTATTTTCGTGTATTCTCACTTGTTTGGCTCCCTGAGTGTCAATTCCTGCTTCTGTCTCATCTTCCTCTGTTCCCTTGTCTTTCAGAGTACTGTTAGGGTGATATTCTGCCAAGTGTGAAGTTGATGAGCTTCACAGTTACAACAGGTTAACATGTCTGAATAACATGATGAAAGTACAAGCATGAACATTTTAAACATGTTTTTTATATTTATTTATATTTCAATAATATGTTTTAATGTTTTAATCCAGCAGTTTAAGGTCGCGCCCAAGTATATCAGTCTCAGACTAAAGTCTGTGCTAATCGACACCATTGCAAAATGTTCATTTTCAGAGGTGGGCTTTCTGCATCATTATCCTGTTGCATAATCTGAGTGAGCTAAAGAGCATGAACTGATAGCTTCATATACTGTATTACTGTGTCATACAGTAACAAACGGCGCCTTAAACCATCTACAACTGAACAGCTGTACCTAATAAAGTGGCTGCTCACAAATGTAGTGACGAAACCCCTGTGGCTGAGACTTTGTTATCGAACTTAAACTTTATGTGAGCCCTTTATTATTCAGTATTGAACGTAGCCAGTCTGCTCTTTATTCCAACTGCTTTCTTTCCACATCTGTCTGCACAGTAACGGGACTTCCTCTGCAGTTAATTTATACTTTCTATTTCGTGTTGCATTATTTTATTTTTAGAGCACGTTACCTGACTGGTTTTGTCCCTGCACTGTTCTGTGTAGCATCTTCAAATGTCCACTAGATGTCACAAAGACACAGTGAACGTGGAACATGCATGAACCTGTCGTGTGGATTGTGACATGCTCTGAATCCACAGACACGCACAACAGGGAAATTACACAAAATGCACTCAAAAGATTCAAGAGTTCGTTTTAACCTATGACATAACAGGACTTAACCATCAAAGACGGCAGCAGTGATTGTAAGGAGCGGTTCTGAATCAGGCCTGCATCAGCTGCGTGAGTCGCTGTGTAAACCACACACAGCAGTGCACAGGCTCAGTCTGTGACTGTGCTGCAACAAACAAAAGTAAAAGTGTTCTTATGCGTTTGGATGGTTCTACGTGCTGAGAAGCAAAACAAATCCTGTTTGTCGTGTTTTTCCTGGAACACACCAGCAGCTGTCAGTACTTACAGCTGGAGGAAGGCGGGGCGTTTCCCTCACATACAAAACACAAAGTTCCAGGAACAGCAGTGAGGCGTGTTTGGGAGCTCTGCTTCTTCCAGGGTTACCGGACTTTGTGGCTGCTGTGGTTTATAAAGGAGGATGAAGATGTTGCTGTTTGTCCTCCTGGGCGGTAAGAAACTCTCTGAGCTCCGTTTACCTGTTTAACCTGCACTCAGTCACAGCACGGCGCCATAAATTCACTCATTCCCGGAAAACAGCGACCTAACGAGGTTTGACTTTACCTGTGAGAGTGTGAACGATGTCTGAGAGGCTGAGGACCAACAGACTGCGGGCTTTCAGGTGAAAGTTTCTAGCAAGAGACACTAACTAACCACAGTAGCTATGCTACAGTAGCTCAGTGTGCGTGGGCGACGCTGATATGAGACATGAGTGCAGATAAGCGTTAAGTCGCATGTGATTATTAACAATGTTTGGAGAAACCGACATGAGGTTAATGTGTTGCTGTCGGTCATCAGAAAGCAAACACCTCTTGTCTTCCCTGCTCTGCTGTGTGGTTTTCCTGCGATCTAAAACTATTTT